TTTATTGCTGTACTACATTGTAAAATTATTTTCGAATCATGTTTTTGCTTTACTTATTTTTATGTCTGCCTTTGCCTTATCCATGGTAGGTTACATCCTCACCCTTTCAACTGAGGGAGGCAAGCTTTTGCTTAACAGATGGTTTTAGACTTCATACAGGAAAGAATTATAAAAATATAACTGAACAAGAATGTGTAATTGAGGAAACTGAATAGTTTTATGAACCACTTAGGGTAACATTATGTAGTAGAGATGTAACTCCATGTAGGTCACTGTCTGACTGTGAGGACGTGGGACGCACCCAAGTCAGAGAATTTGACCTGAATTCTCATCTTTCCTTGCCAGTCACAATGACCTTGGACAAACCGCTTGACCCCTGTGGACCGATTTGTACTTTGGCAAAGATGTAGATAGCAATGAAGTTCTCCCTGGTGGAGAATTGCTTGGTTATGAAAATGATTTTACCTAATTCATATACTTAGTACCTTCAGGTGAGAATACCAAGCCTCTAGAACAACCTGCTACGGAAAAGGCAGAATTAGAATCCAGACCTTATGAATGTGGGTTAGATTTTTTTTTAACTGAAACACCAGGCACACTGCACCTAAGTGCAGCTGAGTGATGAAGGAGAATAAATGCTTCCTGCTGAGGGAGGGTGTCCAGGGGTCTATTAAAGTCACTTTCAGCTACTACCTATCTGATCTCCTTAGTGCATAGAAGAAGTTGAAGGACAGGAGAAAATTGTTTTTCTTTTGAACCCTCCCCCAAAGGTATTTTTATTGAATAAGAGGCATGTAATGCAACTTTATTATTATTATTTGGAGAAATTACTGGGTTAGTACCTTGGTAAACTGCCTTAAGGAATTTCCCTTTTGGCTGATTTATGTGAGAGCAGGGATGTTTTTAAAATGAGCTCTTGGGATTGGGTCTCTGACTTTCAGGATGTGGAATGGTATTTTGAGAGCCAGGAGACCTTTATGGGAACAGCATCTTCCATACAGTGTTGTGTAGCTGACACTTGGACTCGCTTTTTTCATTTGTGAAATGGAAATTCTAGGACCTTGAGGTCTGGCAAGGGAAGTGCCTGGCACGTTGCTGTTCAGTTGAAGGTTCAAGATTGAAGCCAGCGGCATCCTGAGTTTATCTCACCTGACTCCTTCAATTTGTATATGGGGGAATTCCTAAGGGACCAAAGGAAGACAGTGACATCTGCTCAGACTCCTGTGATACTGTTAAAAGATCAAATATGTGTATACATGAAAATATTTAACAAAAATAAAATATACAATGTATATTTCTGCAAATGTGATTTTAGAAACCAGGTATATGTGCAGTAAGACATAATCACTGTCAGAGCCTCTCAGAAGTGTGTTGGGAAAGTTTGTGCAACAATTTGAATAAAATCCTAAACTACTAAGAAACAGTAAATTACCTTATCACATAATAAGTACCATGCAATCTGAATATAAGATTAACTGGAGTGAAAGAGACCTCGATTTCCTAATAAGTGAAGGCATAAAAGTACAAAACTGACTTTGTTTCATGAAATGTATCTTTGCTAAATTTAGAAACAAAGGTAGCAATGCATCATGATTACATATGAGCACAGAAAAGGTGGGGAGCCCATTCCTCCTCTTTAGCTTTCAGAAGCATTGAATTGGCTTTATGGAGAGACTGCAGCAGGTCCCCTCAGCACTGTTTTTGGGACATACATTTCTATAACTTGCCCCCAGAGATGGAGACTTTCAGAATCTGCTCCTCAAAAGACAATAAATAGCTCAAGACATCTGGAATACAGTTTCTGCCCTACCCCTTCTGCTTTCCTCTTGCCTGAAACCACAATGAGAGCTTTGCAAAAAGCCTCAAAAAACACCCATGTCAGCTTGGATGCTCTTTTTCAGTGGCAGCTCTGGCGTCTCAGGACTTCAGAGTGACTCTTAACCCCACCAGCCCCTGTCACCCCAATCCCTGCTGGAAACAGCTTGTCACTGTCATAGCCAGGCTTTTAAAGTGAGGATGTTTCATTTTTAGCACATTTCTTTAGAATTTTTCCCAAGCCATAAAGTAGTTTGAGTATAACATTTATTTTTCACATTTAAAACCAGTCACAAAGTTAGTAAGTTATAAATGAAAGCACTTTCTTGAAGCACAGCAAATATTGATGTGGGAAGGATGAGGAAGGGTGAGTGACAGAGAGACAAAGCCAATTTGCAGATACTTATGTCTTTGCTCAACAAGGTTAGAGATACCAGGAAACACAGAAATCATACAATTAGATAAAATGGGTTTTACACAATAATTCAGAAATAAACAATATAAATATTCTAAGTAAAAACAGAAATGTTGATTAGGTAGACAAGACCTTAATGTATTTAATAATATTTTCTGTATCACATCTAAAAGGAAAGACAGAGAATCCAGGCTGTAGGAGTTACTCAAATGGGTGAGGGACTGACAATATGTACTCTGTTCACATGAAAATCCAGCTGCCCAAGTGTTTTTGGACACCCAAATTCAGTGTTAACATGACTTACTTTCTGTGTACTAATTACTACAGGACACAACAAAAAGTGATACTGAAGCCAGTGGGATGACTGAGTTACGAAGGACCAGAAGGAAGGCCGGCAGACCACATCTTGGTTCTTCTGATGTGGGAGAAATGAGCACATCCAATCCAAATGGTATCGAACTACTCTGTTCTCTTGGAAGGGGTGTGGTCAATGACAGCTTTCATTGGTGCTCCTTTCCATGGCTCAGTTTCCTTTCTCCTTTGGGAGAAACAAAAAAGCAATAAAATGACATTTATTGCTACATAGGTGAAATGAAATATGGCAAATTAAGCTTACAATTTGTGTATATGAAAACAACTGGCCAAGCCTAGTTACTTAGGAGGCTGAGATCTGGAGGAGGGGGGTTCAAAACCAGCCCTAGCAAATGGTTCACAAGACCCATCTCCAAAATAAGCAGAACAAAATGGACTGGAGGAATGACTCAAGTGGTAAGAGCACCTGCTTTGCAAGTGAGAAGCCCTGAGTTCAAACACCAGTCCCACTAAATATATGAATAAATAATCAAAATATTTAGGATTTAAAGGGAGTTAGAACTAGGATGATAATAATGGAGTAGGCACATTTCTACATGGAGAATGAATGCAATGACCATACTGAGGATGGGAGGCCACAAGAAAGGTGTGGAACAATTGCTTATTTCATTTGAAATTCCAGCTGGATACCAGCAGATCTGAAACAGGCAGCAACTAGGAGTTAATTTATATAACACCAGTCCTGGAAGGAGTGGTGCTCTAAGGAGACATAGTAGAAATTGTGATTTCTGTACATTTTATTATTATTTTAAAATTCTGTACAGGCAGCATACTCCTTTATGGCTTGCAATGACTCCCTGTGCCTCATTCAGTTTGTAAGTGATTAGGGACGTGTTATTTCCTCACGTGTGCACCTCTGTGGTGTGTTAACAGACAGCTGAGAGCCAGGGATCAGTGGTTCACATGTGTAATTGTAGCAGCTTTGGAAACTGACACTGGGAGAATCACTGTTTCAGACTGGGCTGGGGGAAAAGTTTGTGAGACCCCATCTCCGTGGAAGAAAAAAGTTGGGTGTGGTAGTACTTGCCTGTCATCAAGGCTACAGTAAAAAGTGTAAAGTAGGAGGACTGATGTCCAGGTCATCCTGGTGAAAAACGTGAGATTCTATTTCTAAAATAACTGCAGCACAAAGGGCTAGAGAAAGGGCTTAAATGGTAGAGCACTGCCTAGCAAGCACGAGGCCCTGAGTTTGAACCCCAGTATTGCCAAAAAAAAAAAAAAAAGACAGTTGAAAAGCAATGGCAGTATGTTTTAATATTTTCCCTTATTACCACAGAGAAAGTCAGAAGCCACAGAGCATGGCACCAGCTAGAGGATGTGAGCTCTGCTGAGCCTCACCTGTCACATGATGACAAAGACACCCAAGATCTGATCACAGCGATGAAACCATCACCCCCTAAAATATCAATCAGCACTCCTGGTGGGGAAATTAACCCAAACTCTGGTAAGAATTTTCCAGTGGAGATTCTGATTTCTGATACAAATGAGCAAATTCTCAAGTTCATATTTAGAATAGAGGTAGACTGATGCTGGCTGAGAAATGCTAGTCTGAGAGTCAGAACACAGAAGAGTTTGTAAATATATCATTTATAAAGTGCTTTGCTGTTTTTTTCCTCTCTAGGCTGGTCATCTGGAAAATAGAGGGGCTTTAGTCTTCTCTAAAAGTGACATTTTGTTACTGGCAGTGATTCAACTGTACATAAGTGCATTGGCTAAAACTGTTGGATACAACTGATAGAGACTAGTTTCAAAAGCATTTGTTTTGTGAGGTAATCTAGTAAGAAATAACCAAACCAGGTTTGGAAAGTGAGAATAAAGCAGCTTGAAGTTAAAGAAACACAGTTACTATGTTACTTTCACTTATATTTTTGATAATTTGTCAGGGGGACTTATAGAAGTCTTACAGAAAGCAATTATACTCAAGGTCATAGTTATTACATCAAAAATATAAAATTGGTCCTGGGACAAAGTCCAAGAAAGAACTAAGCATGAATGTTCACCGCTCTCTCCCAGTGGGGGTCATGGACAGTATTATTCTCTTGGCAATAGGGTTTTGCCAACTAGGGAAGCTCTCTTGAGCCTAGGTATCCAGGGTCTTCATTGGGGCTTTGTGGTTAACTGGCCCTTCTGATATTGAACCCCAGGTATACAAAGACAATCTTGTCAGACAGTTGACTTCCCATGGGCAAAGGGCAAAGGCCAACCTCTCCTTTCACAAGATTTTGTTGTTACACACAGGAACTGGAACCTGAGAAGTAAGCATTGCCAGGCTCCATGACAGCCTTTAACATCAGGGGCCTTTGTACAGGTGTGCCAGGAAGGTAATAGTAATGAGAGCGGTGCTGTGGGGAAGTAAGGAGGTTGTGATCACGAAGGCAGAGGTTCAGAAACTGTGGCCAAAGACCATGTGCAGCTCGCTGGCCTGTTGCTGTAAGTAAGACTAATGTTTTGCTATGGTTGCTTTTGTGCTAAAATGGTGGAGTTGAGTAGCCATGCCAGATAACACACGGCCCACAAAACTGCAAATGTTTACTCTCTGGTCCTTTATGCACAGGGTTTGCAATCCCATTGTTAAAGCATGCACGCTCCATCCCGGTTACGTGGGAGCTCCAGCCAATGACTGCTGTGGAGAAATATCCAGCCAGGGTTGCCGGAGCCAGTCAAGGAAAGATTGAACTCTGTTTTACGTGAAATTTTCTAACCATATGTGTTGCCAACTAATTTAGAGAGGTTTCAAAATCCTAGAACACCTAGCAATCACCTTCTGGCCACATTGACTTGTTCACAGTTTGTGACCTTTGTTTCGTTCAGGGCAAAGAATCTGCCCGAGCTCTCATTACACCACAAGGGGGCACCATTACCAACCCAACTTGGTTAGCTCAGGAGCCCTTGTTTTGGCCTAGGGTGGTTAAGTTCTTTATTAGGTCCTACGTAAAGAGCAGTTTGAGATCCCAAATAAACTATAAATATATCATTTAAGAGTAAATATAAAAATCAACCCCAAAATGAAAGTAAGAAATTTTGATAAGGTATTTTTTTTTTTGTGACAACTACTTGGGTTTAATGCATTTTTTTCTAAGATAAACCCCATTACCCCACTTTTTGTCATTATTTTTCTGTGCTTTGCACTTCGCTATTGTGACACCTGGATTTTCCAATTCTTTCTGAGCTTACATGAGGGGTCCAGAGGGTGGCACATTGCACTAACAGGGTGGTCTCACTGTGAAAGGCCCTTAGAAAGCAGGGCAGCATCGCAGGTGTGCAATAAGCTGGTGTGTTGTACATAGTGCACGCCCCCTGTGAACTGGGGCTTCTGAAGCCGACTGCCTATTCAACCTGGCTTTCTTTGTAACTAAAGTATGTCCTCATGGTCACCAAGCAGAGACAACGTTGCTACAAGGCCTTCTAGTTGCTGTAAGAGCTTTGAAGTCTTCAAAAAATGTTTTCTTATTTTCTCTAAACACTCACAGCAGTAAAACTTCCTCTCTAAAAGCATATTGATTTAATTTATTAGTCCTTTGAGGGGATAGGAATCACACTGTAAGAACAAATGAGTCCCCGAGTTGGCAATTATTTACCTGCTATTTATCATGTATGGCCAGGAAAGGCAGGCTGAAAGGCTTAATTGTAACAAGTATGATTTATGTGAAGGAAAGAAATGGAGACAGTGACGCAGTGAGATTAGCTCATGCTTTGAAATGCAATTAGATTGGATAGGGTTCTCATATTTGATGAAATAATTGAGTTTTAAATGAAAAATTTGATACTAAGGATACTTACTAAAATATATGATGGCAATTTCTCCTTATAAATTAAACAGGGTCAAATCACACAGGGCATGTTCATTCACTCATTCACTCACATACTTATTAATGGAATATTTATTGAGTCCTATCATGGCCAAGCCCAGCTCTCATGGGGTGGAATTGTAAGAAGAGAACAGCAGATGTAAAAGTGTGATCCTGCCATATGACAAGGAAGGGTGAAGAGGACCCTGAAGCAAACGGAAACAGAATAAACAGTTGTCAGCAGAATCGCTTCGCCTCAAGATCCTTATGTTAAGGTCCTCACCCTCACAACCTCAGAATGTGAGTGAATTTGGTTATTAAAGAGGTTAAATGGGGTCAGGAGGAGGGCCCTGACCCAGTGCACCTGGTGCCACCACAGAAGATGCTGAGACAGACATGCCCAGGGAAGACCTTGTGAAGCTACAGGAAGATGACTTTTACAAGCCAAGGAGGGAGGCCTGTCCTCGCCTGATGATGCCTTTGATCTTGGACCCTGGACACCAGGATTGTGAGAAAACAGGTTTCTGTTGAAGCCACCTGGTCTGCGGCAAGAGCTAGAGCAACCTCAGCGAACGCACACACACTCTGTCCAGCCTCTGGCAACTTGGAGATGGTAAGAGAAGCGGGAGTTGGACCTGCCACACCACAGTTGGGTCTCGCAGAATTGACACTGCTGATGAACGTGCCTCACGTTTCCAGCATTTTATCCTCACAGGATCAACCTACTTTTGCAGGCGATCAGGCCATGGCCTTTGGCGCCCCGCTTTGTAACTGAACGTTTTACCGGGTAGGGGTTTCTCTGGCTGCTTCCTAGGAATGCACCAGTATGGAAGGTAGATCCTGAGTGGTAGAATATGTTTCTTATTTTAAAATAATGTGTGCTTATTGTAGAAAATTTAGAAGGTGCAGATAAGGCAAATGACTAACAAGATGGCTTGACATCTGATTACTGGAGAATCAATAACATTACCATTTTCCTGACATAGGAAATGTCTTCCTTATAGCTTATATATAATAGCTTACTGTTTAGATTACTGATTATTTGAAGTTTTTCATATTTAAAAATGCTTATACATTTTGTTTCCTTTGAGGAGCATCAGTCCACTTGGGCTGAACACCCAATGTTTCAGAGTAAGTTGGGAACACAAGGACTACTGACTTATTTATCCTGCAACATTGTAGCTGCTGCAGCTTGATTGTTTGTGTTCAATGGAAGGTGGCTGTGAGCCCCAGGAGTGGCAGAGTGGCCAACCATAGTGACAGGACATGTCTCCAGCAGACCTGCACAGGTGGAGCCAGTGATTAGCTTTCCTTGTGTTTCACATATTTAAAACCTGTTTAATCTATGTTTTTAAACTGTCAATCTTTTTGTTTTTTTGAAAGCCTAACTGTATTTTGAAGAAGGATACTTTAAAATTATAGCTGCTTTATGTCCTCTGTCATGTGACAGATTGCTGGGTGGCCTGACTGCCTGTAACTGTTAAAAAAAATAAAGAAGTGCTTGTTTAATCCTCATAATAAGCCCACAAAATAGGTGGTATTTTATTAATGAAAAAGCTAGGGTTGAGAGCATGGGAAAGGCACCAGGCAAAGGTGGGTATGAAAGGGAGAGGATGATGTCCGTGCTTTGGGCTGAATCTCTATATTCTGCCACCTGTTCCACAGCTCTGACAGTGAATTTATAATGTGCACTGTGGCCCTTCTATGTGATGAGGATGCACTCACTCATTTTGTGGTAACAGGCCACTTACCTGGGGGCAAGAGAAATGCCAAATTCATTCCGTTTTGGCAATGAGCTGATAGTGTGACTTGGGGCACCCATTGTCCCTCTTTGGGACTCGTTGAAGGGTTGGTTAGATTGGTTTTATCTCCAAAGTCTTTCTTAGCTTTAAAGTTCCAGAATTTGCAAATTGTGCATAAGGGGGTTGAAGATGTGGCCTGTATGTGGCTTGCCTGCCAAGTGTGAGGCCCTGAGTTCAAACCCCAGTACCATAAAAAAAAAAAAGCTTTGAAAAGGACATTTTATCAAGTTTCTGATTTTAAAAGTGAACCCACAGTCCAGATTTTTTTTTATCTCCTACACTCTCATTCTTGAAAAGCAGTTGTTTGCTTACTTAAGAAAATTTAAATTCGACAGAAATGTGAGCTTCTTAGATTCAGAGGCCAGTTTAAAGACATAAAACCCTGTTGCCAATAACTGTTATAGGGCTTGTTTAATCCTCAGAACAAGCCTACAAAGTTGGTAATATTTTGTTAATGAGAGAGCACTGTTAATATTGTTGCAAAAGCAGTAACAAGGAAACAAAATAGCAGTAAATAAGTAGAAACAACTTACCTTTAATTAAATAGGAACTTTTAATTTAAACATTGCTCGTTAGTTCAAGAAGCCCCTACATTTTCAATGATAGTCACCCACAGACAGGATTTTCTTTTCTTTTTTTTTTGGCAATACTAGGGGTTGAACTCAGGGCCTCAGGCTTGCTAGGCAGGCACTCCACCACTTCAGCCACTCTGCCAACTCTTTTCTACATTGGTTGATTTTGAGATACGGTCTTGTTTTATGCCAGGGGTGGTGGGCTGAGAGCCTCTTATTTATGATTCTTGGCAGTAGTTGGGATGACAGGCCGGCACTACTGTACCTAGTCATTCATTAGTTGAGATGGGGGTCTTTTTTGTGTGTGTATGTTTGGGGTTGGTCTCAAACGCTGATCCTCCTGATTTCCACCTTCCAAGTAGGTAGGATTGCAGATCTGAACTACCAAGCCCGGTTTGCATACTGACTTTCACGGTACCGACTCTGTCCACTTAAGCAAATATGTTCTATTTTCCTAAAGCAAAGGGATTGCCAGCAAGTGCTTTATGCAACAAGGTCAGTGAAACCTAGTCCTAACTGAAGCAATGCTCCCGTGGGTAGCGGTGTGGAGGTCTCCAAGTGTAAGCAGACGCATCCTAACCACCAAGTCGCTGCTTCATGGCGCACTGCTGACTCGGACCCGTTCTCTGCTTTCCAGATCGTACCAGCGATGGCACTCAGGTTTTGGCCCCTCCTCAACTGCCCTCTAGAATGAAGCAGATCAAACAAGAGATGGCCAGAAGTCACCTTCGGTTTGTGCGATTTGAGGCGACAGACCTGCACGGCGTGTCCAGGTCCAAGAGCATACCGGCACACTTCTTTCAAGTGAGTTTCATACACCGTCATGGGCGAAGGCATTTTCACGACCATTAGGAGGAAATCACTCCCATTGTTCATCCTTATTTTCTTGTAATCCTCACAGCAATTCAAGCTGAAAACCAATAATTTATTTTGCTTTTCCCTTGTCCCTCCCCAAACACATTATTGTTCCCTGAGGAGCTGAGCACAGCTCTCAGACAGCTATTCCTTTACCCAACAGAAATACAAAACCAATTAAGACTGGCAATTTCAGTCCTTTGGCCTTGAATAATTTCCTGCCATGGAATTATCTTTTCTCTTCTTACTGCAATTATGAAGATTATATTTTATTTGACACGAGAAAATTGCAACAGAAGACCCAAGAGCAAATATAAAAGGGGAAAAATGATTAAATAGAGAGAATTTGCAAGATAAAAAAGCATATCATTTTCAGCTGTAATTCTAATAAGAAAATGCCCATTGTTTTTGGATGACTTAATGAATATTAACTTCTTAAAATGGTGGTATCAAGAAACTGTGTTTTGTGATGTGTTTTGAGGGTTTTTAAGATTCTTTTGTTCAGTTTATGTCAATGTTTATATTAATGACTGATTTGTTGTAATACATATCAAATTTCTTAGGAGAAGATATCAGGCATACTGTTTTAGCAAGCACAAAAGTCAAACATTCTGTAGATTGAACTATTTTAAGAGTATGGTATAGTGTTTTTTTTTTTTTTTTTTTACTTTTATATCCAACTGTAATTTTTCTTATTTGCTTTACGTTGGGGAAAATGAACCATTTTCTAGACACTTTTTGAAGGATTCCAATAGGTTCAAGTTCACATTTTAAGACATTCTTTAGACTTGCCTGTACATATTGTTTTCTCAAGAACACATGTTGGCTAATTTTGATTACAAAATGTGAAATTTAATCTGGACAGGTTCATAAGATAATTCACATGAGTCTTTTTCAATCAATAATTGGTGGTTTATGTGCTTGCTAGAAACCTCAATATAAAACAGTTTGCTATTTGGTTTTTGTTGAATTATAATCATTTACTCCACTAATAATCCCTAAAAGCTATGTATTTAGAGCATTTCTCTAGTCCTCAATCAAATACCTTTGCAAAAGCAGAGCCAAATTTTCTCTCAATTGCTGCAGGTTGATTTAATGGACATGCAAAGAATATTTCTGCATTATTTTTTCCAAACTGCTATTAAAAATATTTTCCTTCATTTCTTGTTCAGTATCCCACACATCAAGCCACTTTTTTCCTGGAGTTTAGGTAGGAAAGATTTGATTTATTGTGGGAATTTTGATATAAGAAATTACATTCTTTCAATGGATATATTTATTCTTAGCCTTGGTTTTCTGTGAGTTCACCTTCTCATTCCATTACCTAGCTATTATTATTTTATTCTTATTTAATGATCATAGACTGTGTATATGTATATATGCATATGTGTGTTTGTACACACAGTTCTCTATGGGAAATTCCTTAGACACAATGTGGAATCAGTAGTTTGAATGTGCTCATGGCTTTGTGACAAGTAATTTAGATCTTTACAAGAATAACTTTTAAAAAATCTCCATTTGTGAAAAATAAAATATTGATTGGAAAATTATTAAGGTAAACCATGAAGGAGCAGAAGAGTTAATATAACCCCTCTCTTTCATCTATAGATGAAGAAAGTGAGACTCAAAAAATGAAAAAAAATTCTGCAGACAGGTGACAGCAGAGCTAGGCACCAGCCTGTGTCTTCTCACTCAAAGCTCACCCCTTTTTTTTGTTTTTCTGAACTTTTCCAGTTCAGCTTTATCACTCTTGACACTCTTCATTTGAGCTAAGTGTTCTTTCTTATTAAATACAAACAATTATTAAAAAACATGTAATCTACCAAGAACAGAGGAAAAACTGCTACATATTTGAAAAGCCCAATAGAGAATCTGTGATACAATGGTGTCTGAGATGCTTGGAGAACCTAGCCGATACCTGGCACTGTCTAAATGTCTTATTTAAACCTTTCAGCAGACTTATAGGGTCTTTGTTCCATTAAAGGACTGATTTTTATTTAAATTATGCAGATAATGTGAGTTCTTCCCATCTTTGGTCTAATAAGAATAGAACATATTACTATAGAACTCGTAACCAATTCTTGGGTTCTTTCAATAGATGAACTGTACTGTGGCCCAAATTTCAGTTGTCATAGGGTTTTCAATTATTCTATAACAGTTTTTACTGAGCTCAGAGTGATTGATGCTGAAGTGCAAAGCTATGCACTAAGTCTGCAAGCACAACTGAAGATAGTTTATTGTCATAGACAAGGGATGCTCATCTGTATATTTAAACATTTCCTACAGCTAGCAGGGAGTAGTTTGAATCCAGCATGTTCAATAATGAATAAAGAAAATGACAGCACTAGAAAACAGTGCTCAGAAAAATACAGATTAAACAGCCTGAAGAATAAGATGTAATTTTGCAATCCTTCAAGTTTGCCAAGGACTGTTGTAGAGAAATGTTAGCCAGCCATAACCTGCTGCTCACAGTGAAATGAGAAAAAACTCAGGTTTAGATTACAGAAGCTCTTAGAAGTCTCGTGAATGAAGCACATTATCCATCATTTTAGAATCACACAGAATTAATATAAAGATTTCCAAATAAAAAACAGGCAAGTAGGGAAATTGTGTTACTTTCACAGTGAAAATATGAAATCAAAGTGTTTCATACTGAAGTGCTCTAAGATCCTACCATGTGTCTGTGGTTGGGGTATAAAATTTATAAGTCCTTGAGTAGTTTGAAATTAAGTAAGCACTGGAAAGTGCTTGGCTCACTCCATTTTATTGCAGGCAAAAGTAGGTTTGATCAGCCAAGTCAAAATGTCACTAGGAGACGTGTGCAATGGCTCCTGTCACAGCAGAAGAGTTACCAGCCCACCTTGTAGCCATGTTCTTTGGGAATAAGAGCAAGAAAGAAATGTGGGAATAAGAGCAAGAAAGAAATGTGGCTTGTAGAATGTTAGGATGTTTTTATGAACCTCACAACGCTCATTGGCTTAATGAAAACAGCATCTTATAGTCAGAGCCTTTTCCCCACCCGCTAATGTAACTTTTAACATGTGAAGTCTTGCTGCTATTCCTGCGCACTTTCCAGTGTTGTTTCATGTGCATATTCAGCTTTAAACCCCATCACTTCTCTGTTGCCTGATCCGTAGCAAACGTTCGGTAAGTGATCAAATCCATAGACACATGGCTGGGAAATACCTCAGCAGTCATCTATTGAGCACTTTGTTTCACAGACACAGAATTGCCTAGCTCACACTAGTAATTAATGAAAAAATCTATGACTATGTCAGTCTTGAGACACTCAGTTCATGCTGACTGGATGGCTTCAATATCTTGAAAACTGAGGTTAAGTTCACTTTCATAGGGACTCTAAGAGTAGTGAGGTAGTAATTCTCAAGTGCATTGTAAAAGTTAATAAAAGAGAGAGTGAAACTGTGGGCAACCTGGATCCTGGGTATTGGACAGCTGTCCTATAATTTGTACAGTGACCACAGAGATCCTTTTCTGTAGAATTCTGAAGGTCATCTAATTCTCTTAATTATAATAGAATAAGCCATAAACATGAGTGAGTTATGCTAATATTATTTCCTTTGGACATACACCTAGAAATGAGATAGCTGAATTATATGGAATGTCTATTTATTGCTGCACTATTCCCAATAGTTAAGGTCATGGAATCAGCATAGGTTTATGTTAATGGATGAATGGATAAAAGAACTGTTGTGTATATACACAGTGAAACATTATTCAGGTATAAAAAAATGATATCTTATCATTTGTACCAAAATTGAAGGAACTGGAGGACATTGTAAAACGTGAAATAAGTCGAGAAAAATGTCACATGTTCTCTTTCATAATGTGGACATTACAAAATGTTGATTAAATACAGAATGGAGATTACTAGAGGCTGGGAAAAGTGGAGGAAGGGGGTTGGAGGGAGGTTAGATAACAGGTGTGAAATTACAGGAGTCGTAAGTTCTAGAGTTCTACAGCACAGCAAGATGACTAGAGACCATAATAATTTGTTATAAATTTTATGAATAACTGGAAGAGATATGCTTGAAGACGTCACACATGGAGTCATGATTAGGAGATGGAACATGAATTACTCTGACTTGATGGTCACACATGTACGTGTGTGGGATTACCAATTTATGCCATCAATATATATAGTTAAAACAAATAATTAATAAGATAGAATAGAATAAGTCAAAGATGAAGGCTTATCTGGTTAGCGAATATACTATAAAATAAGCAGTGCTTGATAAAGTGCTGTTGACTTTGGTGATTTAACTATTTCTGCGAGGTTTCTCTTTTGTATTTTGATACAGAGAGATTTTCTTTATCTCTTACAACTTACAGATGTTTATAGCGTTTAAAATTAAAATCTGCTGTTTTCACCACTAAGAGCATATTCTTAAATATTAAGGTTTACAGAAGTGCCTCTGGGGGGTTTTATTTGGGAATATTTAAAATTTATTTGAATTAAATTAGTGTTAACAACAGATGTTAGACACATTTTTTTTTTCCCTCACACACAAGGCTCTTTTCTCAACTCCTTAGCTTGTCTTCAAGTTTCAAAACCTCTAGATTTTCTCTTTCCCTTCTTTAGGAGAAAGTGGTTCATGGGGTTTTCATGCCCCGAAGCTATCTTGAATTGATTCCCAACCCTAAGGACGATGACGTCAATCATCTAAGAGCTTCGTGTTTCAACAGTGACATAGTCCTGAGGCCAGAGTTGTCAACCTATAGAGTCTTGCCATGGGCAGAGAGAACAGCTCGAGTAATCTGTGACACCTTCACAGTGGCCGGCGAGCCTCTGCTGACGTCCCCGAGACACATCGCCAAGATGCAGCTGAGCCGGCTGCAGGATTCGGGCTTCTGTGTGCTCTCAGCCTTCCTCTATGATTTCTGCATTTTCGGTGTGCCCGAGGTCATCGATTCCAAGACCGTGTCTTTTCCTGCTTCCACTTTTCTAAATGATCACGGGCAGCTCTTCATGCAGGAGCTGGTGGACGGCTTGTGCCGTACTGGGGCCAATGTGGAGAGCTTTTCCTCTTTGATCAGGCCTGGTCAGATGGAAATCTGCTTTCTGCCTGAATTTGGCATCACTTCAGCTGACAATGCGTTTACCCTCAGAACAGGTGTCAAAGAAGTGGCAAGGAAATATAATTACATCTCCAGCTTTTTCATTGAGACTGAGCTTTGCAATTCAGGAATTTTGTCTCACAGTGTCTGGGATGATGGTGGGAAGAAGAACATGTTCTGCAGCAATTCTGGAGGCGAACAGCTCTCAGGCTGTGGGAGAAGATGGTTGTCAGGACTCTTGAAGCACTCAGCGGCTCTCAGCTGTCTGATGGCACCTGCTGTCAGCTGCCGAAAGCGTTATTCCAAGGACAGTAAAGACCTGAAGGACAGTGTGCCTACGACGTGGGGGTACAATGACAACAGCTGTGCTTTCAATGTCAAGTGCCATGGTGAGAAAGGCACCCAGATAGAAAATAAACTAGGCTCGGCCACTGCAAATCCTTACCTAGTGCTGGCCGCGACAGTGGCTGCAGGCTTGGATGGACTGCAAAGCCATGACAGCGCTGGGGTTGACCCAGAGGAGAGAACAGACCTCTACCTCTCAAAACCTCCGGAGATTCCTTTGAAGATGGAGGATGCCCTAGTGTCTCTGGAGGAGGATCAGTGTTTGAAGCAGGCTCTGGGAGAAACTTTTATTCGATATTTTGTTGCTATGAAGAAATATGAGTTGGAAAATGCAGAAACAGATGCCGAGAGGAATAAATTCCTAGAGTATTTTATTTAGATGGCACTCCTAACTATCCTTTTAGAGCTGTTGGTATGGCTTAAGTAGCTAATCTACCAGAAGAAGAGACTGAACTTTTGTCCTTATCAACAAGAATACAAATGCTTTCACTCTTTGATTTCCCTGTGGGACACTGGCAGATGGGGTGGGTTGATACCAATAAAGTGTGGTGAGGCTGGATATAAAATGTAGCCAGCTCTTGGCATATCGTCATACATTCTTTGTGTTGTGTTGACCCACATTGGAATACTCAGTTTTGGGCAATAAATACATTCAAACATTGAAGAAAGATGTAAACATTACAAGGCAAATTTTAAATGGCTGAAAAAAAATTTCAAGTATACACATAGGTTTCGACTGCAGGGAGACAGCTATGTTAATATAACCTTACTAATCAGAATGCTATCTAGGATCCAGGCTGAAAGCAATGTTATGATCTAAACATTCTAAATTTTGTGACGTCAGAAGTTCTCATGGTCCCTTCTCTTTCTGCCCTTCTCCTCCAGCTCTTGAAAGGCTTAGGGGCCTCAAGATGATAACGTCCCCAGGAATCAAATCCACAGGAAACAGATTTTGGGCTGGGAACAATGAGGCCAGATTTTAAGGGTCAAAGCCTTTCTTTAGGCAGTGCCTCATATAGAAGCCCAATACAGAAAAGATTTGGAGGAATGGGAGCCCAGGAGGGGAGCTCTGCTGGCTTTGCTCTGTTCTTTGAAACTACTTATCTCTCCACACCTCTTGTGCTCTGCAGGGCATGAGAACAACTGCTTAGCCAGGCCATGTTTGCAGCTCAAATTCCTGTTTAAATGACTAATTCTGCTGCCCACAGAGGTTGGTATTTCTCCGTCAAATAGTGAATGTTCCAGGCAGTTTTTGAAAGTGATAGTATTGTAGCTATCACTGAAATTTATCATCTTTTGGGAGTAAGTCCAAAATCTACTTACTAGCAAATGAAAACACTGTTCCACTGCTTAGGAACAGCGTTTTATATGCAATTAAAACTGACTGTGGTCTTGATTAGGCAGCAAACACACACGTAGAGCATGAGGATTTGGCTCAGTTCCTGCTATTAAAATTTGCAGCACTTAGCAGTTAAAGGAGCGAGAGTCGGTCTGTCCTTCCCTAATTGCTCTTCAACCTTTCCCAGGAACAGAAGCAGCCTGCTTGCAAATGTAAGGATGGAGTTCTTGGGTGGGTTAGGAACAGAGAGAAAGGTAACAAGGGGTGGAGGCTGCAGGAATGAAACCCCACACAGCTCACCTTGTGTGGAGAAGCAGGACCCTCACCACAGCTTTAACTGTCCCCGGTTCTCAGTAGTCAAACCTGTGTGTGTCAGTTGGGAAGACACTGCGGAAACAGCAGAGGTATTCCTGAGGCTCCATCATGGCTGAATATGGTCATGCACTAGGTTCAGACCGAGGAGATGTAAGGTGAAGCATTGGGAGAAGCTCTAGGAAACTGACTTGCAGGGCAGGCATGGCAGGGGGTCCTGCCCGTTCCCCACTTCCTGTCTTTGCCCTTCCTGGTGGAGGCCAGAAGAGCATGAGGCTGGGAATTCCCTCCAGAGAATGGAGCAAGGGTTGACCTGAAGGGGATGCCTTCTGTCTTCTTCAGGCCGCAGTGATTTCAGCTCTTTGTAACTTGCAACAAGACGCCTTTCTTGCTTATGTGTGTGTGTGTGCAAGTATGTTTGTGTGTGCCTGTATGTGTGCACATGCATGGTGTATGAGTGGGGTGTGTGTGTATGCATCCACGTATGTCTGTATGTGTGTATGTGCGTGCGTGTGTGCCTGTGTAGGAGGTTCAAGGGACCTGGGGATGAAAAAACACAGGTATAAGGAGCAGAAAAAGACTGCTTTTTCCCATTCCTTGAGGGGATAATCTGGGTTATTCAGAGGGATCCACCATGAAAAATGTGTC